ATCACTTAAAATCTTCAAATTATTAATGTGACTTTTAGAATTATAGGTATGAAAATATACTTTTAAATGAAATCATGATTTATGGTATTAACAGAGAAGGAATTTATGGAAGGCATTCAGAACATTCTGTATTGTTTTGATGAACATGAACATCTGAGCATCTGAGTAAAGGGGGAAAAAAGCAAAACCAGAACTTCTGGTATCACTTGTATTTTAAAATCTATGCTATAGCCTATTTTTAAAACAATGTATTCACATCTTCCCTGGGGTTATTTAATTTTTGACACATTTTCCTTCAATGACAAAATAACTAGTCAAGAACTTTCTAACACATGAAAAAGTTGTTCCTAGGCATTGGACTCATGGAAACATTTTCATGATTGTCAGTGATTGCTTTGCATTCCAAGGCTAGTTTCGTACAATTACAAATAAGTGTGTTTTATCGGTGTTTGGTGTAAGAGATGAATATAGTTCCAAAATGCCAAATGACATTGAGACAACCTGTTATAACTCAAGAATGCACAAAATCACAGTAGAACTCTGTGAACTTCTGTTCTAAAGACATCACTGTCATGGAAACTGAGATTTTTCATCATTACTTTTATGACTAATTACCTTTATCATCTCAATGTGTGCAAAGCTCTTAGAGCTCTATTTCTGAAGTTTCAATTTATACTCTTGACTAGAAGCATGTATTCAACTTATTTTTCTTGATGTACACTCTATGATTGTCTATATACTGAAGATCAAAATTAAATGCGAGTCCAAACAAGAGTATTTTATACAATCTCTATTATAGATTTTAAGTTTGGAAGCCCTCTTTAATCAGTACTTCAACTAATCATAGATTAGGATTAAATTCATGGATCCAAATTTCCTTTAATCTAAACAATTCAACATATTTATAGGTTGTCAACATGACTTGATTGTTTGCAAAAGTGACCTTTTATGGAAAAGTGAATTTTTATTTCTGATGAAGTTTTACTCTAGTCACATAATATGGCACATGCAGAAACAGTTCTAAAGAAGTCATTTGTTATGTACTTTGATAGCCTGAGTTGATGTTGAAATCAGAGAGTTTTAGATCTATACCAGTACTGGGCAACCAGTTTCCTGTGGATGTAGACCAAGAGATCTTGTACAAAAATATAAAATAAATTCAAAAGAATAATCCAAATAAAGAACCTTGTGGTAGACTCATTCACATAGTGATCTGACATATTCCCAGTACCATCTCAAGCCTCTGTTGCAATAATCACAGCTCTGTGGTAACTATTTACAAACCGTACATTAGGTCTACATTTGCTTCTTTTGCATTTAAATGATTTGTGGATGTTATCTAAGTGTCTGGGTAATGTTGCACCTCATCATTGGCAACAAAGAAATAGGGTAAAATAATGGTGCTGACCATGTAAGCTGTTTTGTCAATTTCTGGAAAAATTAGCTGGCTTCTAGTCAATAAAATAATTAATTGTATTTAATGGGGTGGAGTCTAAAGACATGCCTTATCTTCTCTTGTTTACACTATATCACCCATTTTTAAAAAATATACTTGGAGTATATTTATGATGTATCTAAATCCACCATCCTTTTCCTTGATTATTTTACTGGAAGCATTAGTTTTCCTGGGAGTTACAAAGGTAGAGATTATGAGCCTATGCTTTCAATGTTTATATGCACATTCCTTCTGTTTATTGCTATCTGAAAATATTTCCAAAAACATTTTTAGATTTTTTTTTATGATAGTCACACAGAGAGAGAGAGAGAGAGAGAGAGAGAGAGGCAGAGACACAGGCAGAGGGAGAAGCAGGCTCCATGCACTGGGAGCCTGACGTGGGATTCGATCCTGGGTCTCCAGGATCGCGCCCTGGGCCAAAGGCAGGCGCCAAACCGCTGCGCCACCCAGGGATCCCCATTTTTAGATTTTTAAGTTTTATTTATAAGTCCTTTTATTTGCTTGTTCTTATAGTTATTTAATTAAATGCCATTTTCATGCTAATAGTATATTTAATGATAAAACACTAAAAACATTGAGGATTTCATGTCACAAAAATACAAAGAAGTTTTATTTTTTAATTTTTATTTTTTATTATTTTTATTTAACATTGCTCTGGAAATACTGATGAACGTAATAAGGGATGAAAGGTAACAAAACATAACTTTTGGAAGATACAGAGGTAAACTGCCATTATTTGTAAGCTGTAAGTTGCTTACTTTGGTTCTCAAGGTAGAAAGCAAAATCAAACAAAAAATTTTCAGTATACAGCAGTGGTTCTCAAAATGTCATCTCAAGACCCTTTCAGAGGTCTGTTTTACTAAAAATGCTAAGATGATTTTGCCTTTTCCAATTCCCTTGTCTCATGAGTTTACAGTGGAGTTTTTTGAAGGCTATGTGATGTGCTCTCCAGTGGGTTAAATGCAGAAGCATGTATTAGAATCTGTTTTCTATTAACCCAGAAATATAAGATATTTATAAAATTACAAAACAGTACCTCTCTTCTCACTAAATATTTTTCGAATTTGGAAAACATAATTATCTTCATAAAAGCAGGTTGCTTATATTAACATATAATGGCCGCCTTGTTATTTTTACATGAACTAATCAAAACATCTTGAAAATTAGAAATTCTAGTAAATATAGTAAATATCAATAGTTATAACTCACATATAAAAAGATCTTTGATGTCTTCAATAATTTTTGAGACTGTAAAGTGGTTTTGAGATAAAAAGTTTGAGAGTTGCTTGTGCAGAGAATGGGCAGTATATATTTGTGTATACAGCAGCAATAACCAGTTATAATTCAAAATGGGAAAAAGTAAAATGCCTAAGAATGACCTGACAGACCTGTGTGAAGCATGAAAAAGTACTCTATTTCAGGATATTAATGGACTCAATAAATGGAGATTCATACCATGATCTGTGATAGGAAGTTTCACTATTATAATAGTGTTCAGTTTCCTTAATTAACTTATGAATTTCACATGTATCCAAATAATGGAAATAGGTTAAACCTGTGGAAATGAAAATGTCTGTAAAATTTAATTGATTGTAAAGTTAATGTAAGAATAATAGATTAGTAACTACAAAAATATTTTTAAAAGAAAGTCAAGGAGGCCTGCCTTATCTATATTTAAATTATAATACAAAGGTGAAAAAAATCAAATATCTCAAAACTAGCTTTATTGTGTGTTGTGTACATATATGCATATATCTATATTTGTGTGCATTTAATATATAATAAAGGAAGCATTATTGTTTAACTTCACTCACAATAAAAGGTTTATAAATATAAACAATTCTTATCAATTCACTAAAGATAAAATATTAATATTAGAGGTAATAGCATTGCTAAGCATTTGTAAATTGTTAGGGGGCAACTGTAAATTGTAACAACCTTCCTGGATAACTACCTGATACTGTAAATCAAGTTCATTAAAATATTCTTAATCTTTAATGTGACAAATTTATTTCTAGCAATCTCTCAATGAAATATTCAGAAATGAAAAAAAACATTTATACATAAATATGTTCACAGCAGCACTTTTCATAAGAAATTTTAGAATAGCATATATGTCTACATATCTGGCAATGATTAAGTAAAATGGTAATGACAAAGAAAAACTATACGTAAAAAAACACGGAGTAAAAATAGAGAATACATATCATATATTTCATAGATCCAACCATGTAAAAATTATAGCAAAAAACCAGGGGTAGGTACCCTAACATGTTCACAGTGGTTTTCTCTGGATTCTGGAATTATAAATAATTTTTATTATCTTTGTTAATGCCTTTCTGTATTTTCCTAAATATTTTTACAATAAATATACGTTATTATTAAAATTTTTTTAAAAAAGCATTACTGTTCAATTAACTTTACACAGAACTATTGAAGTTTTAATTTCTAGGGTGAAAGAAATCAGACAACTGAAATTTTGTATTGCATTTCAGTTCTGGATTACATGCTCTTTTCCATAACTTCCTGGGGGTAGTGCCTTCCATTTTCACAGTGTAGTTTTTGTTTGTTTGCCAGTAAACTAACCTTAAACAAGTCACTTTACCTTTCTCTTCATCTTGCTTATCAAAAGAAGCTCCTTCCAATTTTAAAATCTGGAAATTAAATGATAAAGTTTTCTAAAACTATACGCAGAAACATCTTTTCCTACAATCTTTATGTTTCTCTTTTACTGCACAATTTTCTCCTATATTCCCTTCTATGTTTTGTGCTTCTGCATTTCCCCATCCCTTGCTCAGGATCTAGATTGAAGGGATTATAATGTTATCTTTCTGTCTGTCTCTCTAAACTACTCAAAGTGGCATCCAGATCCTATAGTCCCTATATGAATGTTGTTGAGTGATTGTCATCTATGGATCTTTGATGATATTTTGGTGAAGCTATATTTTAATAGAATTTATAAAAAGTCTGCAGAGATTCTAAGAATCTAGATAAACATAGACTAAGTGAAGTGTGATAGTGAATTGCTGTTGCCTTTCCTTCTCATCTTAACCTGTTTTGTTGGACCTTATAAATACACTGTACAGTCATATACAACCCAGGCTTGCTTGCATATGTTTAACATTCAAAATGATGAGCACTTTGAAAATAGTTGCTTTTTGATGAAGCTGTTATGTATTATTTAAATCTTAAGTTTGCATTCTGATATTTTAACTCTGTGGTACTTACTAAAAAACATGGCTATATGTAGTAGTTAATTCAAGTAAGTCACTGAATATATTAATGGATGAGATACGGTTGCATATTGGTACAATATGATGTGCTCCATACAGATCTATTCACTTGATATCAAATACAATTTTCTTATCATTTAATTTATTACATTCTTTAGAATAAAGTCTTAATCTATATTGTATACTTCAAATGGGAAAGCAAGCTTTAGAATTGATTCTCTTTGTCTAATTCATCAACTGGGTGAAATATACACTGTTTGATGCCTCCATGTGATTCATGTGTACTGATAAATTTCTTTTTAAACTTGCAGCAAATAGTGGCAGCAATAAATGCAGGGATTATACCTTTAGGAAACACCTCCAATCAAATCAGTCACTGGGATTTGGGAAGTTCCTTCTTCTTTGCTGGGACTGTTATAACAACTATAGGTAGGAGACAACTTATTTTGTTTTTTAATTTTGGTACAGCTTGTGAGCTAAACTTCATGTTTGCATTTTGCTTTTACAGTTGGTCAAATTGGTCTATGGAAGGTAGAAAAGTAGATTTTAGTAAATTGATTTGGAAAAGAGGGTTTAAAGGTTGGAACAAAGGAATGATGGAAATGAATTAGTTATTGTACTGGAATACTACGTTAAGTTTAAGATGCATATGAACCCAGGGAGCAGCACATTTGAGTCATTTGACTAATGGAGAGTAATGTCAAGAAATGGCTTGAAATAATGATTTTTGGGAGGGCAAGTAGTTTCAAATTTCCCTGCATCTTTGATTTTTTTAGTGTGGAAAAAGAAAGATTTGCGTACAGTTTTGACATTCTTTTCATGAAGCTCTTATTTGATATCACCTTTTTCAATTTGTAAATTTTAACTCTACATTTCAACAGACTGTTTCTGTTCTTATATGCTAGTCTGTTATGATTACTTTAGGGCTTTTAAAATATATATTGTTTTTGCAATAGCACAAATGTATAAAAATTAACCATGAAATAGGAAAATTACAAAAAGAATTAAAGTTAAAACCCTTGCTGTTTGCCTCCTATTTATATTGTCTGTTATAATGTTAAAAAGGACCACATAATGGAACATGGTCTCTTTTTGGGTTGACTGTGCATATGCTCAGCACCTTCTAGGAAGCAGAGTGGGTATATATGGATGAGTTTTCTTCTGGTATTTAGGCATTCAGTGCCCAAGAAATATCCAGAAGCTGTAACTACAGACCCATAGTGAAAACCACACTTGCCATGCTTTGGGGATTGGGAAGGGTTACAGCTGTCTTATTTCATGAAAGGAGGTGGGTTTAAAGCATAATTTTCAAGAAAGGGAAGGAAATGACTCATCTCAGTTATGAAGGAATTTTCAGTGGAAGAAGAATTCTTCCCTTCTACGTAAGCTTGTGATAAGATTTCCCATCATGGGCCTGATTTCGGGGTGTGAATTATGATTCTAAAAGTTTTCATTTTCTTATGTGATACCATTGATAAATTATGGAGTAGATAAGGTTTCAACTCAGTACTTTATATTGAACTCCTAAGTAAGAGGACATGGACAGTGTATAGATGAACTCCTGCTTAAAATTTTCCCTTGAAAATTGAGTTTGTAGAGTCCTGTCATTATCCGAAACTACTGTAATGCCTCTTTGTACCCGATCACTTGCCAGTGAAATAAATACCTGAGCATGTTGATTTTTGCCTTTGTTAAGAGGTCAAGGAGCTATATTTACTCTTCCATTTCCACCAGCTAGGTCAAAAGTTGTGTGGCTGTGAAAACCTGGAAGAATGGCAACCTTGATTTCTAACCATAATGACAGGTTAACTTTGGAGCTTAGACGTCTTGGACCATTTCTACTATGGAAATAACTGTTTATTGTGTAAACTACTTAGAGTCTAGAAGAGGGGGAAAAAAACCAACCTCACAGACTGAGTGAGAATGGTTTGTTTCTGCCCCATGAAAACTCAAAAGTCCAAGTTCTAACTCATTATGACCACCACTAAATCATTCTGCAAGAGACTTAGTCATTATACTGACTTACAGTTGCAGCATATGTTTGTAAACAGTCTCATTTTTTGAATCCCAAATTCAGTAAGTTTTGCAGACATATACTTCAACACATGAAAAAAATAAACCATTATTACCAGCCTTACCCCAAATTATAGCCATTAAGCACAGGAGCTGATTATTCCGGTTGTTTAGGTAGCTGCCCAACAGCCCAAATCCCCTGCTGTTCTCTCAGACTTCAGTCTTAGGTGGATTAAGTCATTCTAGGTCACCCACATCTCCTCCACAGTCTTTTACTCCTAGGTCAAGGTTATCTCCTCTGACCTTAGACGAGACTATGGTCTAGGGTAGGATAAAAATGTTGGCCTATTTCATCCGTGTCCATTTGACAAGTAAGCCATCACTCAGCAAAACTCAAAGTATAATTATTAATCTTCATAGTGATAATAATGTGAGCTTTGAAGTGGTTTTTAGCAATCACAGAAATTGTAACCTCTAGCATTAGCCCTATTGCATTAGTCATTTTAAAAAAAGGTTTGAGACAGTTTGGGAGGATAAATTGCAGTGGCTTTTATGGGGTGCCTGGTACAGGCAGTGCTTCACAGAGCTGCGTTAGCTGCAGCTGTGCAAGATTCGTCTATTCAGTGTTCTCAATTTTTCTAAGAAGCCACAGGGACTCTTACTATGCATTGGAAATATGCCTGAGGGAAGTTCAATCAAACAAAACAGATTATTAAAACCTAAGGCCTGGGGTAGCCCGGGTGGCTTAGCGGTTTAGTGCCGCCTTTGGCCCAGGGTGTGATCCTGGAGACCCAGGATCGAGTCCCACGTCGGGCTCCCTGCATGTAGCCCGCTTCTCCCTCTGCCTCTCTCTCCTCTCTCTCTCTCGTTTCTCATGAATAAATAAATAAAATCTTAAAAAAAAAACCCTAAGGCCTAATTGTAGAGAATCTCTTCATATATATCTACATACTTTTCCCAAAAATCATATACTTCCAAACCCTGCACAAATTCCATTCCACAGTTGCAGACTAAAATCCAATCTTGACTGTACTCATTCCCTCAGGCCTCACTTCCAGTCCATCGATCAGTTCTGTTGGCTCTGACTTTAAAGTACATCCATAATGTAACTACTACTCACCATCCAAACCATCCCCATTTTAGCCCAAGGCAGCATTGTCTCAGTGTCAGCATCCTTGCAGAAAGAAGCCTTCTGCTAAGAGCATTTCTATGCTTTCAAACTCAGAGCAAACACTGTACTTCTCCCTGTCTCACCTAGTAAGATGCACATTCTATGAGGTTAGGGTTTGAGTCTTTTCTGTATCTCTGGTGGTTGACCTATAGTGGGTGCTTAACAATTGGAATTAATAACAAATATACGCATTCTAAAGAGTATAAACTATGGCTTGTTGTAAATTACATAACACTAAATTGATAGCTATTACACTATGTTCTTAGCGCTTTCAACAGATTTTAGTGTCAGCTTGTTTGCTAGTTCGCTCCTTTATCTATTCAACAAATAATACAGCACTGTCACTTTGTTACTATAAAGATGAAAGATACAGTACTTGAGCCTAAGTTGCCCACAGACCAGTCAGAAAGGGCAATGGACAAATAGTCATATATAATGTATAGTGCCACATACTGTGGGTTAAGAGTATTTAATATATATACGAACTACACTTTAGGTAGATAATGGGATTTAGGTAGATACGTGGATGGGTAAGGAAGCAACAGTATTTTCCTTTTCTTTGTAAATGTTGTCCTAGTTGTGACCTGAAAGAGAATTAGGAGGTTTCCAGGTGAATGAAGGCGGAAAGGGAACATTCTAGGCATTGGGAGTTTGTGTGGGAGAGATTAGGGCTAAGGAACATTATGTTCTGTTTGGGAATTGCAAGGTATCTAGAATAGTTGTTTTTAGTTGAAGGGATTCATCCTCAGGACCATGTAAATCGGTAAGTCACTGTAAGTGGCTCCTGTTGGATCAGTGCTATTTCTGCCACTGCCAGGATATAAAGGACACAGTCGCTGCTTACAGTCCACTTTGGGAGATTAAATGTACACTTATGAAATAACTGAAGAATAAAAGAAACAAGTCTGTGTAACTGAATGTTATATGGAACAGTGGTTTAAACAATGGTTTAAGAATTAAGAAAAAGGAAAGTACATGTGGGCTGGAACTGGGAGGGGAGTGTTAATTAGAGAAGTTGGATTTGATCTATGCTTCGAAGAAAATGTTTTGGTTTAAATTGTTGGAGGAGGAAAGGGCCTCTAAGTCTGTGACATGGCTAAGCAATACAAAGAGAGGTATGAGCTTGGTTTAATTTGAGGATAGAAAAGTGAGTATTTGAGTAGACTACAGGGGTTGTTTAAAGAGTAGTGGGAAATAATTGAGTGATTCAGATGGGAAGGATACAGTTGAATAGAATGTGATGTTTGAGACTTGCTGTAATAAGATAGAACATGGGTTGGTTTGGGGTTTAGCTGTTGTTGGAAAGTGAAGTGACAGGTTAAAAGTGACATTAGAAGATGCATCTGTCAAGAAGAGGATAGGAGGAGATGGATGGTGGAGAGAGCAATTAGGAGCCCATCCCAGGCACCCATGGAAGGGGAATAGGAAGGTTGACTGGGATGTTGAAGTCGATGCTTCAAGAAGAGAGGAAGACAAAATGCTAAAGTAATTCCATGCGAGACTCAGCACCTTAGTGACTAGTACAAGTTGAATATTGCAATGAATATTTAAGCAGCAGGGTTGCAACTCATTGACAGTGCTCTTTTCTCCTGAAGAGAAAAGAGTCAACAAATGGCCAAGATTTCCTACTTTGTGTCCTTTTTGGAAGCTTCCTTTTAGTAGCTCCGTTCCCCAACTTTTGCTTATCTATTCTTTTTTTTTTTTTTTTTTTTGCTTATCTATTCTTTAAATCAGACGGATTAGGAATGCAAGGTGGATGGGCTCCCTCCTGAAGCTCTCATTAGGGCTGGAGAGACGAGCAATCAATCAGGACATTTAAAAAAACAGCACCGGGATCCCTGGGTGGCGCAGCGGTTTGGCGCCTGCCTTTGGCCCAGGGCGCGATCCTGGAGACCCGGGATCGAATCCCACGTCGGGCTCCCGGTGCATGGAGCCTGCTTCTCCCTCTGCCTGTGTCTCTGCCTCTCTCTCTCTCTCTGTGACTATCATAAATAAAAATAAAAAATAAAAAAAAATAAAAAAACAGCACCATTACGGATGAGAATAAATGCTACCCAAGAAGTTCATGTGTGGTGATAGAGAGTAGTTAGAGGAGCCAGAGCAGGAAGAAGGAGATGTTCTAAAGAAGATTGATTTAAGAACTCTCTGAGCAGGTGACATCGAAGCTGAAATGTGAAGCATGAGGAGAGATCAGCTAGATAGAGAAGAGTGTAAAGATGCATTCAGGCAGAGGACCAGCAATGGC